TTCCCTTTCAACAATATAAACAGCAGAATGCTCCCGGCCCCCTGATGGAGTTGGAAGAGGAGCTACTGCTGGAAGAGATCTGGCATCAAGCTCACTGATGATGACACCAATATTAGTTCCAGTGGCAACAAGATGAGGTTGTAAAGGATGAGCAATCATACAATAAACCTGCAACGTGAGACCGTCAGGACAGCTATTTGATAATTTATGTTACTTTGAATCTTTGGGAAACTAAAATGATAAAAAGACTTCTCCTAGGAAGAATGAAAGAAATAGGAAGATGCAAGGGCACCAAGGGGCTAGGAAGAAACCCCAACAATACAACAAAGATCTAGGCTAAATGTTATATAAAAACCAAAACAGAGAAAAAAAAACTCACTGGGGACAGTTACAAGATTTATCTTGTGCGGAAAGACATACCCTAACTTTCTTGTTTGGAGCAAGCACTTGAGGAGGGACAAGGGAAGAAAGTTCACATAAAGGTCTCGTGAGAGCTGAGTACGTGGGGTGCTCAATAGCCCTGAAAAAGTGCAGGCCTTAACCTATAAGAGCCTTGATGTAATAAGAAAACTTAAATAATACAGCTGGAATTCTAATTAAGATAGATTAGGTGGAAGCTGATATCATAAGCTCACTGCTATTTTAGTTCACAGAAAGCGTTAAACATTCTCATCTGGTATACTCCATAAAAAAAATGAAAAAAATAATACAAAATCATACCATATATGGGAATCTTTGACACAAGTGAGAATATCAAGGTTTGGAGCTCGAGGATGACACCAAGATGCGACACTATGGCAAGCCAATTTTGGAACAGGTTTAATGCGACGCAATTCCTGAGAAGAATAGATTAAATGAGATATCATAAAATATGCAAGAGACTTGAACAAAGGTAATCTAGTAAATATCTGTTAAACTCTCCAGGGGGTTATAATTATAAAATGTAATGCACTATTGATATTTATTGATACCCTAAAAGAGATGGTATCCCATATAGCAAGTGTTTTGTCTGCACCAATCGTGATAAGCTGTGGAGCACCTCCAATCACCCTGGAAAGTTCAACAGCTACAACCCCACCATCATGTGCCTATCAAGAATGCAAAATAACTTAGAACTCAAAGGACACAGTTATACAACCTATAGAAGAGATCTTGTTAAAGTAAGGCAACAAGAACGCAAAACATCTTATCATTATCCCAGTCCATTTATCTTTATGAAACACACAATAAATAAATCAATCCCAAAAAGGATATGTGAATCCATTGAGTATTCAAGTTCTAAGATCATATTAGAAAAAAATGGACAGCATGAAAAAGTTTTCTGAAGAAGTCGTAAGCATTAAATATTCAAATATAATAACTAATAATAATAAACATAAAATAGTTATTGAAATTGAAGGCAGAGGACGCACTTTTAAGCTTAATTTTGGTACAAGTTCTCGTGAATCTTGGCTGTTGTCCGCACTCCAGAGCACAAGTAAGCCATCACTAGCACCAGATACCAAAAGTGCCTGGCCATCAAATTCACAAATACAAAAGGGTAATAAATCCAAGAGGAAAAAACAAGGAAGCATCAACAAGAAAAAGAATGGGAAATGAAGATAGAGCGCTGGGGTACATAAGAGATCTAACTCAAAAAAGCAATTTACTGAAATGCATAAATAAATTTAAATTAAAACCTTAACCCCAAATCAAATAAGAAGTCTAAGACTACAAGTGTACACCAAATTGTTTGATAATAATAATAATAATTGTAGAACATGTCTATTTTGTATTTTCACTCCTTTAGAAGTTTGTATCTTTAAACAATTTGTTCATTTTTATTACATCAATGAAAAGTTTGTATCTCGTTAAACAAAATAATTGTAGAACATGCATCTCCAAATTAAGAGTAAGCATTATGAATGAACCCAAGGCAAGAGTCAATGGTGTTATAACTTGTTTCAAAAAATGAAGATAGTCTCCTTTTAATCAAAGTTTACTCTCTTCCTTCTTAGTGTGGTTGCCATATGTCACAATCCAATGCTCGTGGATTGGCAATGCGAAACAAGGGTGGGCTATCAATGACACATGATAGCAACCCAAGGTTGGAGTAAGCATTATGAATGAACCCGAGGCCAAGAGTCAATGGTGTTATAACTTGTTTCAAAAAGTGAAGATAGTCTCCTTTTAATCATAGTTTATTCTCTACTTTTTAAGTGTGGTTGCCAGATGTCACAACCCAATGCCCATGAATCGGCAAAGTGAGCATCGCTTGGAGATGTCATTGACACATGATAGTAACCCAAGGTTGGAGATCATGAGCCCAAATATGGGATCCCACAGTAGTCACTTGCCACTGTTGACATAAAGGAATGAAAAAGGGATTTCTTTTAGAAAGTATGTAGGGTAGCATGGCGTCGACTTACCACCACCGTTGGCCAGGTGTGCCTAAGTTAGTCATCCTTAGCACATTGTGTGCCATAGTATGGGTGAGCACCATAGGGTGAATGGGCCTCTATTGAGTTATTGTGTTCCAACAAGAGCACGTATCCCTTTTGTAATTATCCGTTAGGTCTTATTTTGTTAGATTGGAGTCCCTTTCAAGAGTAGTTTCGCTCCTTTATTATTTTTTTTCTAACAAGATACGAACTTTTAATTGATCGATAAAAAGGAACTTTAGTTTCGCTCCTTTATTAGGGCTGTCTTTTTGTATGCCCCTTTGTATTCTTTCATTTCTATCTCAATGAAAGCTCGATACCTTAAAAAAAAAAAAAGCACAAGTATCCAGGACAATGCATTGGCACGAGTAGGCCAACATTGGACTCCTACCTACATGTTAGAGGTTTCCATATAACGTGTAGCCCACGATGAGTATCCAAAAGTGGGTTGATATGGGTATGAGCAACGCCATATTAAGAGTGCCTCGAATGGACAGATGTTCAAGCAAAAACCCAAAGGACTCATGGAACTAGTGAAGGAAATGCCTTTGGGCTAGAGACAATGATTACAGATGCCCTCCTTCATCAAGAAATAAGGTGGAGCAATCTAACGTCACATTAAGCAAGCAGCAAATGTTGAGGCACTTTTGGTTGAAGAAAAATACAAGACTTACCTTGGGCATCTCAGCTAAGCAAAGAAGCAGGGTTATTGTGAGTTGAATTAGAGAAAGCAACACAACAATGTATTCATGATCGCTTGGCCTAGAGATGAGACAAGACTAAGTCATTAGTCTTGACCAAGTGTAAAGACCATATCATTGTACACTGCACATTTGCTACCAAATTCTGGAGCAGTCTTTTAAACTCTTTTGGTTGGGCCTTGCCTAAGGATGAAAATATCTTCCAACCTTCTTTCCCTTGTGTTGCTCCAGCCCTTAAAAAATAGGCTAAACCTATGGCTTAATATCATTCTGAGTTCCCTTTGGAATACTTGCTTCAAAAGGAACAAGTCTCTTCAGTGGAAACAAAAGAAATTTCACATACCTATCTGACTTCAGTGCAAGCTTAGATTGTGTTCAAAGCTGCCACTTCATTGCAAGCTTAGATTTGTTTTGTAATTATTCTCTAAATGATTTATGTGCTCATTAGAGGGAGGCTCTCCTCCCTTTTCTGTACATCTAATTACATTAATAAAATACCGTTTCTTCTCCAAAAAATAAACAAAAAGATGTTATAGTTATACCCAAAAGAAAGTTAATTCTATAAGCAAAATATGAAAATGATCAGATATACTTATAGGAAAAGCAATTTGTTTTGATCTAACAAACCATTCTTCCTGATGAGGAGATAACAATCTGACCAGACAAGATCACAACACGTAGTTTAATTTCTAATTACTTCAAAAAAAAATCCTCATATTTACAATCCAAACGTTACTCCCTCAGACTTTACATACTATCTCTACGTTTAACAACTTTTCCCCTTATTGACACTTGATTGAGAAAAAAAATGTCAAATAAAACATAAATTAGACCAATAGTTGATGAATGAGAAGGGACATCCCATATCAAATTACTTGAAACAAGTCTATGGTATTGTACGTTACACCTAGATCACATTTTATGGATTTACCTCACCAGAGGAAGCCATGAAGGTCATCAAACACGAGATAGATCCTTTATGACCTCCAGTATATCTGCGCACTAGCTGCAAGAAAATATGGAATTAGAAAATAAAAATAACAGTTTGATAATGCTATCGAACTTGGCCAGTAAGAAAAAAGTTCAAACCTTCCAGGTTAGCATTGAGAGGACCCTAATAACACCATCTGATCCACCAAAGGCAACAAGAGGACCATCTCCTCCCGAAGATCTAGAAAGGAACTCCATGCTGCAACATGGGTGGTGGCAGAGTTTTAGAAAAGAGAAGGAAAAAAGAAGATGAACAATTTAGTGATTCAAAACCAACCACAAACAAAGGACTCTAATAACAGCTTAAGTAATCAACTCAATTTAAATATACATCTATCACGTTCCTGTAGATAGAAATTGAGGATTTTTGCTGAAAATTTCAAATTTGTAAAATTTTTATTGGAAAAGGATGGAACTTTTTGTAAATTTGGCAATTGAAACATTTGAATCTAAAAAGAAAATGACTGATGATTGGATGAAGTAAAATGCAGTCCAGATTGACACAAACATGTGTTCTTTTATGCAATACGTGCATTAGGTACAAATAAAAATTTATTGACAGTGCAGTTACTAGGTTATTACAAGAGGAACTTATAGTCCAACAAGAACGTATCGTTTTGTAATAATAAAATCGAGATGTATTAGCCAAAAGAAGTTCCAAGGCAAAGTAGGCTGCTCATTCTTGAAGAAAACGAGGCCTCCTCAAGGGGTATGTATCATTGTATCTAGGTGTGGCAACATCAGAATTAATCACCTACTTTTTTCTGATGATACCCTCTTATTTTCTAGCAAGGACCCATAGAATATCAAGAATCTCCAAATAATAGTCAAGGCTTTTCAAGATGCATCCGGACTCGACATCAAGTATAATAAATCAGAAATTCTTGGCATTTCACTAGACCCACAGCTATGGGGACGCAAATTGGGCACTTGGCCTACTACTTATTTGGGCCTCCAATTGAACGGCAACCCTAGGAAGGAATCATTTTGGTTACCCATCATAATCTCACAGCAACAAGTGGAGCAATTCTTTCATCTCAAAAGGGGGAGACATACTATCATCCCATCGGTTCTTGCTAACTTACTCACTTACTATCTTTCTCTTTTCAACCTCTCTGGACAGGTAGCAGAAAAGATAGAATAAGTCTTCAGAGACTTCCTCTGGGAGTGACCAAGCAAGAAAGGAAAGCTTCACCTAGTCAATTGGAACAAGGTACAGCTTCCGTTTCTCAAAGGGGGCTTAGGCATTGGTAACATCAAGAAAAGGAACATCGCCTAGCTGTCCAAGTGGATATGGCGTTTTCTAATAGAGGCAAATCAGCTTTGGAGGAAATTCATTTTGGCAAAGTATGTTGAGACCTCCACGGCAATCTGACCTACCAACCGTTTGAGCTCATCCAAAGGTCCATGGTGCACTATCCTATCACAAACACACATTACTAAGGCAAACGCCTACTGCCAGATTGGAGAAAACAGCCAACTAAGCTTCTGGAATGACAATTGGTTGAATACTGAGATTTTGGCCACCCACTTCCCCAGACTTTATGCTATCACCTTGAACAAAGATGCCAAAATCTCAGATCTTTGGTCCAAGGCCACAGCCTCCTGGGATTACAACTTCCACAGAACACTTAAAGATGAAGAGTTGGAAGAATGGCTACAACTAACACATGTATTAAACAGGTTTGTCCCTCCCCCTATTGACGATAAATGGATCTGGACACAGGACCCCTCAAAGCTCTACAACATGCACAAGATCTGTCTTCTCTCTATGGGCTTCCACTGAGAATAGCCAGCCACCTCCCCTCTATCTCAGCTTTTGCCATGGGAAATATCCTAAGAAAATCAAGCTTTCTACTGGGAGCTAAGTAACTGTGCAAGGTCCAAAGACGACTACCACACACTGCCCTCTCCCCCAACTGCTGCCACCTTTGCTATACGGCTCCTGAAACTCAAGGTCACCTCTTTATCAAACGTGACTTCACATCCACATTTTGGGAAAGGATTCTAACAGCTTTCAGGTGGAAAACTGCATTACACAACCACCGAAAATTCTTCCTCAACATTCTCATGGCTGTCATCCATTCAAAAAAGAGAGAGCAATCCTTTGGGCCCAAATCATTAGGGCTTACCTGTGGAGGTTGTGGATGGAAAGGAACAATAGGATCTTTATCGACTCCTTTCTCCCTTTTGAGATCTTTTTTGATAGAGTTATTTGTACTTACTCTAGAATTGTGTAAATGTTTCTACTCCACACTCAATAGTTACAACCTAAACTACCTTATAGCAAATTGGAAGGCGTTTTTGTAACTTCCAATATGGCCTTTTTATATTTCATATCATCAATTAAATACATGTTTCTTTCTATAAAAGAAAAATAATAATAATAATAATAATAATAATAATAATAATAATAAATAAATAAATAAATAAGATAACTTAATACTCCACATTTCAAAAGATGCAAAAGAATAGAGCTTTCACAAGGGTCAAGTCCATCCACAAAACAGGTTTTTTTGGGAAATGTTACAAGATTATATTTTGAAGCGAAATGAAATTGGTTCTCCTACTAGAGCTGAAAGTAGAAGGTTGGGGGATTAAGAAAATGAAGAAAGTTCAAAGGAATTTCTTTTCAAGGATCACAACTCAAGTCAATGAAAAACAGGATATTCAACAATCATACTGGATCAAAAAGGAAAAGGAAGTGGTTGGATTGGATTAGAATTCTTTGAAGACTTAACACTCTTGATAATTGGAAAGAAGTATCCATTGCTTTGAAGAACCATTTTGAAGTTGAATGTTCCATTAATCCCTTTATTTGAGGGCTTTTCTCTTATCTTTGTTGATTCATGGATTCTTTTTTGGAGGGCCTGCATTATCGTTTCTTCTCTTTTTCGACACCCTGATTTTTAAAAGATTCGCAATTCTTTTTGGAGCCTTTTAAATTCTTCAATGTGATATGATACTGATTTTTTTATAACCAAAGTCCTTTATGATTACTCCTTTTAGACAGTAGTCTGTAATATCAAACCTGAATAATGACACGGGTCAAACTCCATCAACCGGGAATGTCCAATTATTGTGTTGGAGTACAATTTCACACTTCCATTGCGATTAAATGGAAGGCACTACAATATCAAGGTATCACAAAATTTCAAATGGAACAAAGAAATGCTGAATTTCAAAACTGTATTCCATACTTCCAAATTAGAAGTTCAATTTCAATATAGAATTCAAAACGCTACTTTATTCTACAAACACACTACCAATCAAACAGAGTGACAACTTACCAGAGAAGAGATTTATTGTCAAGATCCTGCTTCGGTACATCACGGCCTCGCATTGTCACCAAGTCCAAGAATATGGCTTTATATTCACAACAGATAACTAGAAAATGTCTCCCTTTTGTGGAAGGGGCAGGGGAACTCAAAGCTGATGTAACTTGGTTAACGGCTGAAGGAGCTTCAGCAGCTGCCGAGCGGTTCCGCCAAAGTTGCCAAAAGCGTACATCATCGTCATAAAAGTTCACCTGCTTCACACTGCGCGCAACAATGAGCTCCATGAGATGGTTCAGGAAGTGATGCAAACAAAAGATAACTGCAAGATTCTGGATTCACACCTTCCCCCTCGTATAGCTTCGGTCGGCTTCCCCTTGGAATCTAACAATCCCATTCAACAGACCCAAATCAGCAGAAATTTTCGTCACAAAGATGAATTACACATTTTCAACAACAATAAATCAATGGGTCGAACCTAATTCACCCTCAGCGAGCTTCTCCAACTTGGCACCAACGAGACGCCTCTGATCAACTCCGCCTGCTTTGAGCTCGTAAATGACCTGCCGATGCTCCCAATTCCAGACAGAGACGTGATCCGACGCATCGGCTGTAACAAGCCATGGATGGGTCGGATGCATCTGTATCTTGACGACCTTCTCATTTGTAGGCCGAAATGATCTTAGCCTCAGCATTTTTCTTCCGCTTCTTCAGTCCAGTAGCACCGAATCCTACTTCAATTCGACTGGAAAACTGAATATAGGGATTGAAAATGCATGAACAATGATTGCGCCCCGACTGCAAATTCTAGTCTGGTTCTTGTGCTTCTTCTGGGCGATGGATTTTATCGGATCGGTAGAGAATCTTTCTCAAGCCGGCGCTGGTTTCCGCTCGGAAGAGCAGCCGTGGTAGAAACGAGACGAGCTTTTTTTCTCTTCGAGTTGTTGCAAAACGACATCGAGTTGTTGCATATATATGTTTTAACCCTTGACGTAGTTTTTGACGGCGAACTCAAACCCACAATGTCAATTGCGGCTTTTGGTCGTTGTATTTATTTTTTATGTGCTTGAAATTTAAAGAAATGTCTTTTTTTTTTTTTTTTTTGTGAAAGGTGAAATGTCTTTTAGTTTTAGGTATATATTAATTATCATTGAACTATATTCGCTTTGATTAAAGAAATGTCGTTTACTTAAACTTAAAAATTATTGTAATCCTTATCTTAAATAATTGGGCATGTAATTTCGATAAAAATGCAGTACGTTTTGAATTTAGAACCCTGCATTAGTGTTGTACTAAAAAAACCCCTACATTGGTGTTATATGGAAAAAGTAACATATATAATAAAATATTCGAATAATAAAATTTAATAATATTTTATATTAAATGATGGTGGTTTAATAAAAAAATATTTTAGTTGATAGAATTTTATTAATTATTTATTAATATGAAATAAATTGTTATAATAAAAAATATTTACTATAGTAATAAATTAGCTTAGAATTTATTACTATTTTAATTAAAAAACGCTAATATTAAATGATGTTGCTTTAATAAAAAAATATTTTAGTTGATAGAATTTATTTTAAATATTAATTATTTATTAATATTAAATACATTATTATAATAAAATATATTTACTGTAGTAATAAATTAAATTAGAATTTATTACTATTTTAATTTAAAAAACGATTAGCGTAATGTAATTGTAATTCGGTTTTTTTTTAATATTGTCGTAAATGAAACTTATTTTAGAAAGATAGTTGTTTAATTAAAAATATTAAAAATACTGTAGATTTTGAAACATATTTAAAAATATTGTAGTTTTAAAAAACTGAAGGTTGGTCGTCTTTAAAAAGACCATTTAGACATGGTGCCAAGTAAATTTTTTTTAAAATTTGAACATGGTCATCTCTTAGACGACCATCCAGTCAGTTCATTTCTGAAAAAAAAATATACATATAATTGTTTATATTATATTTTATTTAGTAGCTTTAATGTAAAAAGTTCCTTAATAGTGTAGTGGGTGCACTGCTACCTTAATATTTCTTCCATCCCAATGACAAATCTTTCTTTTTTATAACCATTAATCATCTTTTTTATATATATATTATTATTTATTTAATAATAATGATACATTTATTATTATCACTATCATTGTATTTTCTTTTATTTTATATATTCTTGTTTATATTTTATATATTATTATTTATATTAAGTAAAAAAGAGAAAAGAGATGATTCGTGGTTATAAAAAAGAAAGATGTGTGACCCAAGAATAGCAATACACCCACTACACCACTAAGAAATTTTTTACATTAAAACTACTAAATAATATATAATATAAACAATTATATTTTTTTTTTAAAAATGAACCGACCGGATGGTCGTACCATCCCACATGGTTGTCTCTTAGAGACGACCACGTTCAATTTTTAAAAAAATTTACGTGGCGCCATCGCGCCACGTCTAAATGGTCGTCTTTTGAAGAGACGACCAACTTTCAGTTTTTTAAAACTACAATATTTTTAAAATAAGTTTCAAAATCTACAATATTTTTAATATTTTTAATTAAACAACTATATTTTTAAAATAAGTTTTATTTACAATAATATTTAAAAAAAAACCCACTTGTAATTAGCTATAAAGAATAAATGGATATACTAGTAATTACTATATATTTGATTTCGATTTTGATTTCATACAGTTTTAGTGAACAACATCAAGTGAATTTTGATTTCGATTCCAAAAACTTTATGGTAAATAGCATCTAAAAATAACATTCTTATTCCAATCAATTTGATTTCAATTTCACGGTTTCCAGTTGCATGGCACTTTGCTAACGGTTTCCAGTTGTGATATTCAATATTGTCAATATAATTTTTTTTTTATGACTGTTGATGCTAGAATTCGGCTTCCTGGGATCTCACCAAATTCGTACCAATCTTCTAGAATTAAGATATCGATGAGACCTGCAAAACAGAATAACGCTAAGACCGATGTGACTCTTGTCACACGAGTTCTGATGCTTAAGTTAGTATCGGAGTAGTCGAATACAGAGAATAGGGTTTTTAGGCATACCTTTCCTTCAGAATTTACATTAGTTGAACCTTAATCCCTTTAGGGTTTACATCAGTTGAATCCTTATGCACTCAGGAGATCTTAGACGGAATGGGCCTCATGCTGCATTCAGGGCCGAGACCAAGTCGACTCAGATCGGGCTGTATGAGGGTCGGGGTGCATCGGGGAGGTTCTCCACCATTGGGCCGAGAACTCCTCGACATCGACCAGCCGACCCGGGTTGCTAGGCCCCGACCCACTTACCTCTCTTCGGGTCCACTCCTTCTTCGGCTCTCTTTCCTCTTTTCGGTTGTTTAGTATGATCTCTATTTTCTCTCTATAACATATGACGATTAAAAATATCAATGTAAAGACCTTCCTGATAGTTAAAACTGTCAACGTTGACGGTTAAAATTATTATTATAAACGTTTTCGTTATCACGTTTTCTTGACGTCTATAAATTGTGGTTATAAAAGATTGCATGATAGTTATAAACTATCGTTATTAAGTTTTTTTTCACGAAAGTACTTTTTTTTATTGTTTTATTGACCATTATAGATTATCACGAAACGTATTTTTGTGACATTTTTTTTATTGTTATTGAAGACCATTTGTAACATTTTTTAACTATCACGTTGAATATAGTAATGATAGTGTCTTTAAATCTCATGTTTTTTCTTTCTTTGATGGACGACTCAATGATTTTTAAAAACGGTAACAAAATCAATTTGTTACATTTCTTAACTGTCATTGAAGTTTATATTTATAAGAGTGAATGTATTATTAAATCATTGTTTTATTAACATATGTTTGACACATAATATGCAACTCAAATGTTACTTGATATTTAAAATCAAACTCATTCATCAACAAAATCTGACTATCAATCAAATAATTATATTTTATTTATTAAAAGCACCATGCTCATATGTCAAATTATATTAAGAAAACAATAATTTGACATAAGTTTTATGTTAATAAATTTCAACATTCTTTTAAGCCAGATGATAGATAATTTTAATGGATTAAAGACGAATTTGATAGTTACCTATTAATGACCATTATTTTTTTTCGTTTTTCTTTTTTTTAAAATACTCATAAAAATAATGTTAAAAACACATTTGGTCATTGAACTTTTCGTTAAAGTAACAATTTAGTCCCTCAACTTTCAAAAGTAACATGTTAGTCTTTGTACTTTTAAATTGGTAAACATTTAGTTCATACCGTAAAAAATTAGGTTAATAGTTAACAGAATATTAACGTGGTGCGAAATAGGATTGATGTGTACAAATTAAAGAGCCACATGTGCATGTTGGTTTGGTTCGATTTGGATTACATTTAAACTGGTTTAGGGCCTAAAAAAAAGAAATAACAAAATATTTAAAACTCAATCTCCCTCGTGAGTTTTCGCATATCTTATCCTTCTCCCAACGACTTCTGTGCAAAATTTCGAACAAGCCTTCCTTCTTCGAGATGACTTCCTCGCAAAATTTGGAACAAGCCTTCCTTCTCCTAGATGACTTCTGCACAAAATTTCGAATGAGCCTTCTAGAAGTTTCAAGGTTAAAAAACGAGCATTCTTAGCAGAATTTCTTGACTAAACAACCACTACAAGAATTTCAAGTTTCATCGACGAACGAAATCGTCGCCGAAAGCAACATTTTCGTTGCCGAAGGTCTTCGGTGACGAAATCCGATCGTCGCCCAAGTCGTCGTTGTAGGGTCGTCGCCAGAGGTTTTCGGCGACGACCGAATTTTCTTCGCCGACGAGAGCTTCGGCGACGAAATCAACATTTCGTCGCCGAAAGTCTAATCAGCGACGAAACTTTTTTCGTCGCCGATGATGTTTTCGGCGACGAAATGGTTATTTCGTCACCGAAGATCCTTATCCCTTTTGGCTCCATTTTTCCCTTTTTTTATCTTCCCTTTTTTCCGGTATAAATCTGAATCCTGTTTTTTTCTTCCCTTTTTTCCTGTATAAATCCGAAATTTTCTTAACATCTTAACCATGATCAAATTTCATTGCAAAAGTCATAATATTTACAAATATTTGTTTTACAACAATATAAGTTTACCGACATACTCTAAAATGTCCCAAACTTAAACAATTTAAACATATACTAAACGATTACATCTTACAAAGTTTGTTCATAAAATTTGATCAAGTTTCCAAAATCTTTCCATAGAGGGATCGAACAAACCTGAAAAAATAAATGAAAAATAAACTTATATTAGCAAAATAATTTATCTATTTCTTAAAACTAATTTAAAAGTCATAAAAAGATCTATCTCACTCCACAAGCATGTTTTAACTCAAACTAGACATTAAAAGTTAACTCACCACATTTACATGTCATATGAACTCAAACGACGAAGTATTTAAACATCCTTATTATGTCATGAACGCAAAGTAAGCATTTCACAAACTAAAAGAAAAGTATAAGAGCATCCCCAACATCAAACACTATCTTACAAAGTTAATAAACTAAAAAAAAAATATTATAGCACCCCTCCCCAAGTATGTATAACACACCCCCCTCCTCTTACAACRTAAAACACGCATACTCACCAATAAACTTTACAAATTTAACAGAATTATCRAACAACACTTAAACATAACCATAACTGATCCATTCGTGATATACGTTTTAAATGGCTACCATAACTGCAGGATAGCCACATTTACAACTATTCAATTCTAACAAGTAGTAGACGTACCTATTTTGATGAGCTGGCTCCATCAGAATGACCCATAAATTCTAGGATCATGGATTTCAGATCCGACATTTCACCACGTAGACCCRTAATCTCAGACTCTTTGTCTGCGAGAGACTCCTTTAACTCCGCAAACTCTTTGTCTTTCTGTGTAAGGCGCTCCTCAAACTCGATGTTCTTTCGTGTGAGACAGTC